CAGAACAAAATGAAAATAGTTCTAAACCGTATTAACGCGGAATAAACGTGTTTTTACAAGATAATTGTGATGAAATTCTGCTGCAGTTTGGAGAGATTCTCGACAAAGTAGTTAAGACAAATTTACATGAATTTTCTACTTTTTGATTCTCAAAATCTTTCTCTTGATTGACACATTTCTCACACTTCTTATTTTTCATGATTTTCACTATTCTAAAAGTATGGAAAAGTAGTGAAAATGATTCTTATCTTGTCACATGGACAGGCCTTTGTGGAAAGGGGTTTCTCTGTAAATAAAGCAGTTGAAATTGAAAATTTAAGTGACTCATCATGCATTTCTCAACGCGCAGTATTTGATTACATAAAATTTTAGGGAGGTATTCTTAATATCGAAATTAATAAAGAAATAAGATCAGCAGCAGCTTCGATAGATGCTTTTAGCAGATGAAGCCGAGACCAGCAGGAACATTAATTTGTTTATCAAAACAAATGAACTTAGAAGAATAGTTAAAGAAAAAGAAATAGACATAAATAAATTAGATGTTAAAATGTCTGAAAAAATTTCAGATTTAAAAAAAATCATAAATGTTTTGTATCTTTTATTGCATAGTTTATTATTCTAGTATCTTTCAAAAAACCGAAGAAATAAATTGTATGTTTACACATCTGTTATTTTAATCTGTAAAATATCCTTACATTGCAATTATAATAGTAGTTGACTGTGTTTAAATAAATATCAAATAAGTTAAATAATAATCATGTAAATCTCTAAAATATCTGTGGCTGTTATTAGTGTGAAATACACTTATACAAGTTTTTCAAGAAATTATGTTCTTAATTTAATGTTATCTACTTCATAACTTGTAGGTAGTTAGTTTAATTTTCAAAATTGTTTTATGTTTATTAAATTGAATTTAATAATAGTGCATAATGCACACTAGTTAGTTTCTTAAATGGATAATTGCGTTATTCTATTCGTGTTTTTTTCTTTTTCTTTTTTTTTTTTTTTCTTTTTTTTTCTTTTTTTTTTTTTTTTTTTTTTTTTTTTTTTTTTTTTTTTTTTTTTTTTTTTTTTTTTTTTTTTTTTTGTTTTTTTTTTTCCCAAGGTCCTTATTTTTTTTTTTTTTTTTTTGATGGTCCTTAAAAGTCCTTAATTTTCATGTAAGGAAATGTGTACAAACCCTGATTTCTTTTGTGAAATTTTAATTGAATTCTCATTTTGGCAAAATTCTATTCCTAAGCAATAATGTAATTTCCCCAAGTTTTCATTTTGAAAGCAGAAGCTAAACTATCGCGAATTGTTTCATGCGTTTGCTTAGAATCGGTAAAAGGTCGTCTACATAAACAATTATAATAGTTTCACTGTTAGACGTCTTTTTAATATAAACACAATTATCTGAATTAAGAGATTTAAATTTCAGAGATTTTAATTTTTCATCCAACTTTTGTACCACTGACGTCCTGACTGTTTAAGACCATATAATAATCTCTTTAAAAGACACACTTTATCTGAATTAGTTTCATCGCGAAAACCTTCGGGAATTTCCATGTAGATTTCCTCATCTAAATTTCCATTTACATAGGCCATTACAAAATCTAATTGGTAACCTTTGAGACTGTGTTCTACAACATAGGCTAAAACTGTTCTTATGGAACTTAATCTAGCAACAGGGGGAAAGTTTTCAGTGAAATCGAGACTAGGGATTTGATCACACCCCTTAGCAACTAGCTTACCTTTGTATTTTTTTATAGTGCTGTCGTGATTATATTTTAATTTAAGAACCCATTTACTACCAATAACTTCCTTGTCTTCAGGTCTTTTTACTAATTTCCAAGCCTTTTCTTGCACAAGCGAGTTATATTCTGACAGCATGGCATTATGCCAATTTTCAGCATATGGTCCATTTAATGCTTCTTGCACTGTAGGATTAATGCTTTCCTCAACAACATTTTGAGGTGTCATTTTTATTTAACGACTGTATAGTGATATTCCTTTTTAGGCCTTCTCAGCAAACATGTTTTTTTTTCCTTGGGTCGACCAGGCCCCCTTTTAGTCAGGATAGGAAGCACCGATTCACTATTTAAATCACTTTCGCTTTCCTTTTCAGATTCAGAGTCAAGTGGCGACTTGCTGCCCTCCAAAGGTGATGCTTTATCACATGTTTTATTTATAATTTTTTCCTCCGGAGTGAAAGGCAGATATATTTTTTGCTCTGAGTCATAACTACAGCAGTTTTCAAACTCATTAATAAATTTTACGTCTCTGCATATTATCACTTTACGTGCCTCAGAATCCCAAAGTCTATATGCTTTTGATTCATCAGAATAGCCAATAAAAATAAATACTTTCTTTAGATCGAATATCAAATTTTCCTATTCATAGCCTTTTATTTAATAGAAATACTTTTTGACCAAAGATTCTGAAGTGAGAGACAGATGGTACTCTGCCAAACATTACTTCGTAAGGTGTTTAAACCTCGCGTTGGGGAGCGATTTTGAATGTAAGCAGCCGTATTGACGGCTTCGGCCCAGAATTTCTGAGGCAGATTGGATTGCAATAACAAACATCGCGCCATTGAAACTAAACTGGGATTTAATCTTTCGTCGACGCCATTCTGGGCTGGCGTGTAAGGAGTGCTCATTTCGTGTTTTATTCCCGTGTCATTAAGAAATTTATTAAAGTCTTTCCGTAAATATTCTAGTCCGTTATCGGTTTGCAGTATTCTGATTTTAGAGTTAAGTTTATTTTCAAAAGATGCTTTTAAAATTTCTGAAAGCCTCTTTAACCTCATCCTTAGATTTCAGAAAATAAACACGAACATATCGAGATTTATCATCGATAAATGTGGGATAAAATGCCTATTGATTCGGCTCTCATGGGACCGCACAAATCAGAATGAATTATATTTAACGGTTCGGTACTTCTCTATTCGGATTCTTTGGGAAGGGGGGGGTTGCGGTTTGTTTACCCTGGATACATACCTTACAGGTAGAAAGAGAGCCATTTTGAGAAAAAGAAAGACCTCTAACCATGTTATTTAGTTGAAGTTTTTTAAGATCATTTTCATTTAAATGGCCAAATCTTATATGCCACTGATCTATTTCTGTTTATTAAAATTACTGTTTCATTATTAGAATTAATTATTTGAGCACATTTTTCTTTGAAAATTACTGAAAGATTATTTGCAGTCACTTTAGACACTGAGATTAAATTATTTTTCATATAAGGTACACGCAATACATTTTTGAGTTTGATATTTTCAGTTTTAGAACCTATACAAATTTTAAATTTAACAGTTCCTTTTCCGATAGCTTTAACTACATTTTATCAGCAGCGAATTTAACCTAAGTATCACCTACCTTGTGAATTTCTTGAAACAGTTCCTTGCTGTTACACATATGCGATGTTACACCACTATCCAGACAAAAAATGTCTTTAGAATTACTATTTGTGCTTGATACGGCTTTTTCTTGCTCCAAGGAATTCTGATTTTCTGCAGACATCGCAGTTTCACTAAGGCGTTTGTTTTTAGTTTCTTTACTTTTCTTCTTACATTCCGATGCTCTCATAGATGTGACAGAAGTTGCATCTGTAGTTAACTGGATACTGTCTTCGGTTTGCAGACTTATCTGGTTTCGGTTTACGAACCAGTTGTTGAGTATACTTCCGATCTTTTGAATAGAATGCATGTTGCGGCTCAAAAAACAATGAATCTTTATTTTTGCGAGCACTAGCTTCTTCCAACAGTTTAATTTTCAGCATTTCTGGAGGAGGCAGTTCATCACGAGATTCGATGGCTATTCGAAACCTTTCGTAAGAGTCCGGTATTCTATATAAAAGCAATATTGTAAGCAAATCATCTGCAGTGTTTATTTCCATTTCTTTCAGTTTGTCCATGAGTGAAAAAAATCTTTTAGATGATAAGTCATTTGTTTAGAATCACTCATTTTTGTGAAAAGCAATTTTTTTAGAATTGTGGCCTTTCTAGCTGGTCCTTTTGATTCGTAAATAGAATGCAATTTACTCCTTAGTTCATGAGATGTTACACAATTCTTTACTTGTGGAAGTTCACTGGGTGAGATGGATAGGATTATATCCACTTGTGCTTTTTGGTCAGTAGTTTTCCATTTAGCAAATTCTTCATCACCTGGTTCTGGTTTCGGAATTTTCCCAGTTACGTAGTCTCACAGATCATTTTTAATCAATATTGCTTCCACTTGCAACTTCCATGTGTCAAAGTTGTCCTTGTTCAGCTTTTCAACTGAACTGTATTTGTCGTCGTCATTTTCATTTCAGTCGACGCATCTTGGCTTGCCGAAAGAATTTAACAATGATGTTTGGGCTGCGCAGTTAAGCACTGTCTGGGGCCATAACCAATGAAGAATAAAATGACGTCTTCCATATACATGACAAACATTTATTTAAGCTATGAAGACATTGAACAACAGAGTAGAAACATGATGTTACACAGCGCTTAGCACTTCTCGCTTACATGCGATACTCACCATTTGTGTTGACTAACTGCGTAGAAAAGTATTACCCAACGGAGAACTTGCTTATCGTGCGCATGCGCTAGGGAAATCAGTGGCGGTTGCCAACACTTATCATTTAAAAATTTTGTTTTTTAAATATACATGTAATCGATGTAATTTTATAACATATCTAATTAAAAATTAATGGACTTTGTGATTGTAATAAATAATAAAAGGTTTTTAATCCATATTTAATGTACCTTGGTAAGAAATTGGTAGATTTTTTTTAAATTCATCTAGCATTTCTAAAATGATTTCTCACTCTCTTTTTTTCCCTTACTTTTATATTCATTATTTATTACTGATTACCATTGTTCCTGAACATAACTACCATTTAAAAATGCTAAATTTGTATAGCCACCGTGCTACTATGAATGTTTCCTTTGCTGCTTTAATTGTACTCATTAGTGTTATCAATGACGTTATGTTTTAAGATAAAACTACAAAAAGAAAATTTATAATTTTTAGGGAAAAAATGACTCTTGAAAAAGATCTTGCTCAGAAGGAAGCTGATGTCAAAATAAAGAATGGAGAGCTGAAAAATTTGCAAAATGAGCAAGATGCCCTAGAAACTATGCTTAAACAGCTAGAAATTCAAAAAGGAGAGGCCCGTAAAAGGTTAAATGACCTAGACAAACAGGTATTTTTGACTGTGATTTCATGGATGAACTTCTAAGAAAAGTCTAAAAAATTACCTTAAATTAATGCATGGCCTTCTAACATTTTTAATCTATAAAATAATCTTAATTTTGTGTATTACTTTTTATTTTAATCTTGTTTTGGAGGGACACATTTCTTTTTCTGACCTTTGTTGCTTTTATTCAACAATACAGTAACCATATATATTTTTATTTATTTATGTAGTAAAACTGATTAGTAGTTGAGTAATCATTTTTGTTTATTTTTCAAACTATATTATTCAAGTATTTGATTTTAAGTGTTTTATTTTATGGCATTTTTGCATGAATTAGAAAAGCTCCCTTGACCTTAACCTTTGTGATTTGATGGCTCAAACAGAGGATGAAGTCAATCAGGTAGTGCACATAATGCTTATTATTATTATTTTTAAAAATTTTTTTCAAATGTTTTTAATTTTTGTTTTGTGGTTGGTTTAGTGTGGCTAAAAATTAAATGCATGGAGAGCTGTACATAAAGCAATTAGAAAATATTAGTTTTTTTACATATTCATGCGCATGCACTATAATCTGCTTTCTTGATTTATTATTTTTAATTGAGATTAAATGAAATTTACTGCATTTATGTGCATTTTGAATTAGAATTTAAATAATGAAATGCTCAGTGCACTTTTTTAATACTTTGATTGAATTTGTTAATGATATATAGAACTCTATTCTTTTAATTTAACGGTATTGCTGCACAGAAAACAATATCTTAGATCTTCATGCTCAATATATTTTGATAAAATAAGTTACTCTTAAAAAACAAAAAGATGTATTCAAATGCTATCTATGAATCTATTTTTTATTTTTTATTTATTTATTTTTTTTTTTTTATTTATTTTTGAAATGATTATATAATAAACGTTAGTGTTCAGAATTTTCTGTAATGTTTAATGCTTTACATTCTTTATACATGAATTGAATACAGTGAATTTTAACGTGAAAATTTGAAGGACAATAGAAACTGGATTTTTATTACTGTATGTTAAAATAGAGGGAAAATTTGAAATATTTTAACGAGAACAAGTTATTGATAAATTCTGTTATCAGTAATTTCAATCAGCTTTTCTTTTGCTTATTTATCTCACAGCTTTAGACTTTTTGTATGTTGTATGCTAGTATGAAACCTTGTTATGAATTTTTTTTTTTTTTTTGCTTTAAAGGGTAAGTGAGATGTTACCATATGGTAGTCAGTGAAAGAAATCTGAAAGAATAAACATTTCTTTGTTAGGAGATGGATTCCAAGAATGTGCATAAACACATGCTTTTCACTTGTTAAACCAGTTTATAAGGATCTAAAAATGATACACATATTCAGAATCAACATCATTTAATCCTGTGTAGTGTCATTATTTGAGTATCTAGAGTTAAAGACTTTCTCTTGTATTGAAAAAATGGAAGGGTGTGAAATTGAATTCTTGGATGTTAGAGATTAACTTGTGCATATCATTTTTTTGATATCTTGAAATTTACTAGGTTATAAAGATAAGGAGTATATATAAATACATTTGATTGAGCAAAGTTGGCCGTGATATTCCATAATTTCACTTTGGTAAACTTAAAATTGCTTTATATAATAACTTTGTTTCAACCAATATTTTCTTTTTCTTTTATATCATCAAAAATTTTATATTTGTATATGTGATAAAAGCAGTTCACTGTGTTACTATTTTTACTGTTAAATGACAAGTGTTCAACTTTTTAAAATACTTCATCCTCATAGCTGAACAAAAACATGGCAAGGTTTGCTGACAAAAATATTCCAAAGGCCAAATACAGAACTGAATATTTATTAGTAATTATTATACAGGGTGTTTCATAGATCATAGGACAAACTTGGAGGGGTGATGGAGCATACTAAAACATGCATTTCTTGTATAGCAATGTAGGGTCTAGAGTGACAGGTTAAGGCAGGAACGCAAAAAAAAAAAAAAAAAAAAAAAAAAAAAAAAAAAAAGACAACACAACAGCAAAATGTGTTTATGTACAAAATCAACGCAAAGTGCTTCTTTGCAGCAATACAGTATTCACAATAAATGTTCAAAAAAGGGAACACTAACAGTAATAGGAATTATAGCTGTGATTGGCTGGCAATGAAGCAGTAGAGGGCAGTAGTGAGCCGGACAAACCACAATCCGATGCATCAGAGGATCATTCGCAACTCTGATGTCGAACGTGATGGGTGGGTGAGTTTACGCACAGGAAAAAAGCTAACATTCATCTCATGTATGGTGCTGCTAATGGGAACTGCAGAGCACAGGGTTGCCACGCTACCTGGAAAACCAGAAAAAGTCAGGGAATTCGGAAATTCACCAAAAAATTCAGGGAAAAGTCAGGGAATTTAAGTAATTTAGTCAAAATCTGGAAAAGTCAGGGAATTTCATACAACAATCCCGCCAAAAAAGGCGAGTTTTGCGCCGACGTCGGAAGAGATCACTTTTTTGGCTAATTGTGTATCACGTGAGTGTCATTCGGGTAGCTAGCATAGAGCCAATTTCGCAGCTCCAATTTGATTGTCTTTTTAGAAAGGCAAAGCAAGTTTCCCGCAACTTTTGGTTTCCAGTAACCTCGAGAATCGCATGTGCAGTGCATGAACTAAAGAAAGTACCTGTTTTCGTATTAAACAAAATGGGTTTAATCCTAGTATACAGTACCATGAAGGTTAGAATTAAAAAATATGTATTGTAAAAAAGGAAAACCTCTCTGCAACAGACGTGGCTCAATTCCATCATAGCGGGAAACAGCTGTGCATGTGCGATATATCTGTCGCCAAAGCTCGAAACCGGTGTCGAAGTTCGAAGGTCACGTTATCAAGAGTTCATAAAATGAATATCGTTTAAAATGTCTTTTAAACTCTAAAGGAAAAGAAATATTTTTTTGGCACAAGTAAATAATTCATGGATTAGTTATTTTGATTTGAGGGGGGAATCTACGAAAAATCCGTTTTTAAAATTATTGCAAAAAATCCAAGAAAAAAACATTCTTTGATAAAATGTTTCTTCTTGGATTTTTCGCAATAATTTAAAAACGGATTTTTGTAGTTTTCTTTTTTGTCAAAGAACGTTTCTTCTTAACACGTGTTTCTCAATTTCCTGTTCACATCGCGGAGACGGAAATTCTGGCCGTTCCGTCGTCAAATCCCTTGGCAAATTTTCCCTCCGCTTTTTACATAGACGTTCTTTGGTCTGAATAATCTCCATGTATGGTACAGCGGGATTTGGCGACATGATGATGAGCAGTAAACGGGTCATTTAGTTCTTGGCGACGATTTTCAAAATCATGCGAAGGCCGTATCGTATACTAGGATTTTACCGCAAAATCTTTTTTTTTTTTTTTTTTTTTTTTTTTTGTTTTTTTTTTTTTTTTTTTTTTTTTTTTTTTTTTTTTTTTTTTTTTTTTTTTTTTTTTTTTTTTTTTTTTTTTTTTTTTTTTTTTTTTTTTTTTTTTTTTTTTTTTTTTTTTTTTTTTTTTTTTTTTTTTTTTTTTTTTTTTTTTTTTTTTTTTTTTTTTTTTTTTTTTTTTTTTTTTTTATTTTTTTTTTTTTTTTTTTTTTTTTTTTTTTTTTTTTTTTTTTTTTTTTTTTTTTTTTTTTTTTTTTTTTTTTTTTTTTTTTTTTTTTTTTTTTTTTTTTTTTTTTTTTTTTTTTTTTTTTTTTTTTTTTTTTTTTTTTTTTCTTTTTTTTTTTTTTTTTTCTTTCTTTTCTTTAATAAAACCTTGTCATTTTGCAGTAAAATAAAAAAAAATAGTAATCAATCATATAGGATAACCATGTAATATAACTATATTTGCTAAAATATCGTTGATTATTTCTAATTAAAATTTTTAAGTAATTATCTTTATTTTTATGTTATTCATATCATTTAATGTTGCTTCTTCCCCTAAATTTATTTATCATTAGTAAATAATATTTCCAAATTTCAGGAAATTTTCTCTGGGCATAATCTGAAATTAATTCTAGCAGTATGATGACATCACACGAAATTTAATGCACATATTTTTACCTTATGTATGCTGCGAAATAAATATAAAATACCTCAATTTAGTAAAAAAAATATCATTAAATAGATTCTTTCTTTTGTTTAGCTGCAGAATGTCTGGGAAAAAAAAAAAAAAAAGCCTTATTTTATTCCAGATTGGGCAGATTCTAATCTCAATCTTCAGTGGAGAAAACAACTCCTATTATAATTATATTTGTGTTTTCAAGTGTTAAGGTGCCTTTTAAGAATACACCTCACATAAATTAAATTTACCTAAAATCTAACCTAACTTTTAGCATTGCATTGTGATTTATAAGAACCGGATTAGCCTCGTGTTGAACTGGAGATGATCATGAGTAATAATTAAATAAAACATGCAGTTGTTATCCAATGTATATATCTTAAATGTTATTAAGTTTTTTAAGCAGAAAAGTAAACAAAATTATCAAACAAAGTGTACCAAGAATAATTAAGAATAAATGTCCTCTGGGATTTATTGAATAATTAAGTAAATTTGCTACACAGTACAAGTAATACCATAATTAATTTACCTCTTAGCACAGCCAACGTACATTATGCGGATAGACTGGAATTTTCTCAAAACATACCTGGAAAAGTCAGGGAATTTCATTCTCCTGTTTGAGTGGCAACCCTGAGAGCAGCGCTACGATTGTACCAGGAATGGTTTCCAAACAGGCGTATGCCGAAGCGCACAATATTCAAGAAGTTGCATTGGTCTTTGTGTGAAAACGGGTCATTTGAAGCCACCTCTGACACAGGAGTGGAAGAAGAAGTGCACGACAACCTTGCATTGAAGAATCCATCTTGAACATTTTGCACGAATGACCTCAGACAAGTACAAGAGCTATTGCACGTCTTCTGCAGCTGAGTCATTCTACTGTTTGGAGTGTATTGCATGAAAATGCTTTGCAGCCAAACCATTTGCAGAGAGTCCAAGCCTTGCAAGAGGCAGATTATCCTCTCTGAGTTCATTTTTGTCATTAATTCTTGCAGCAGTGTGCGGCGTAGGCGGATTTTCCCTCGGATGTGCTGTTCACGGACAAGGCAACTTTCTCACAGGACGGCATCTTCAATAGCCACAACATGCACATGTCGGCAACTTGTAATCCACACGGCACACGTCCACATGCATTCCAAACTCGCTTCTCCATGAATGTGTGTGGGAGGAATTGTTAACGACTACCTCATAGGCCCATACCTCTTACCGGCACGTACAAATGGCTTATGTTATCATATTTTTCTGCAAGAGGTGCTACCAGAATTGCTGCAGGATGTTCCGGCTGTCGTTCTTAATCGCATGTGGTTCCAACATGATGATGCACCAGCCCATAACCACGTGCGGGTTGGCAATTACTT